CATCTCCAGACCTGATTAGCTTGCTAATTAAGCTCAGTTACAGGGAAATCTGCAGTCAATCAGCCCGGCCATTACAAGTTGGATCTGCAGAGCGGGAGCTGTAGATGCTGCATCTCTGGTGGGGAGGAGGAGGAGGAAGAGGAGGAGGAAAGGAGCGTGCTGCGGGTGGGAAAAAAGGTTGTCCTGAAATCCGCTTTCCTCAGCAGCATTCGGAGAGGCTCACCTCTCCGGGGCCATTCCCGACAGCCTTCAGTGCCCCCACGCTCGCCCCGGCTCCTGCCCCCCATGCTGGGGGCTGGGGGGGGGGGATTGCCCCATTTTGCCTCAGTCACCAAGCTGCTTGGCAGCACAATCCCTTTCCAGTCCACAAACTCCCAGAAACTGCAGAATGCCTCCAAAGACAGCCCATTCGGAAGGGTAAACACAGGGCTGGGGGGGGGGGGTGGTATTTTTTATTTATTTTTTTATTTTTATTTCTTTTGGGCTGGGCCAGGCTGCTTCCCTCCCTTCCCCACAGCAATGTGCAGCTCTGACACCTTGCTCCGGCTTTTCCCTCCCGCACCCAGCCGGCACCTGGGGACCTGCACCAAAATGCTGATGGACATCTTCATCCTGTTGCAGAGGCCACGGGCTCTCGGGGATTTCTTTTTGCTTGTGAAGTAGATGCAACCTCCCCCGGCCGGCGCAAAGCAGAGGCAGGATTTCAAGACATGTACCCATCTGTTGCTGTCAGCATTGCAGGACGCAGCGTTTTGGCATTCGGGGACCCCCTTGCTCCCTCCGGCTGCAGCCCCCTTATCTTGGCAGTTGCCAGTGGGCATCAGGCATTTGCTTTTCTCTTGATCTCATCCTTCCTCCGGCTCTGGCAGCTCGAGGCCGCTGGGGATCCCAGCCCTTGCTTCATTAGATGGAAATACCTGGCCCTTTGATTTCCACTCATCCTCCAAAACCGTGTGGATCGTTTGCTCCCGCACCCAAATGACAATAAGTGATTATTTTTCTAATGCAAAAGGTGATCAGGAGATTCTCTTTGGCCGAGCAACAAGCAGCCCTCAGCGTCGGCAGCACCAGTGCCAAGCCATTTCTTAAAAGGCTTGAGCAAACCCCGGGCACGTTATGTTCCCTAGGAGCCCAGCGTTAATCCCCGAGGAACAGGAAAGACCTGCAGGTGGTTTTGCAGCTCCGCATCCCTCCATCCCCCCTGCCCCACGGCACAGCATCGCCTTTTTATCTTCCGCCGCTTTAGCTCTTCTCATTCTCTCTTTGGCAAAAGGCAAGGACTCTCCCTGGCTTAAAAACAAACAGATCTGGAAGTCAGGGAGCGGAGATCGGTGGGGGCAGAATGCAAATAAATAAGTGCTAATTGCTGGCAGTGGCGCTGCGCGTCGAGCGTGGTTGCTGTGACCGCATTTATTGGCCAATTAAGGGCTTTACTGGACGTCAGGCGAGATAAACGGCTGCCTGGTGGGTTTCCCAGTCCTGGCGCCGGTTTGTGGGTTTCTCACTGCACATTTAGTGGTTTCACCAGGAGTAACCACGTTCCTCTAATACGCCCTCCAGGTAACTCCTGCAGTCTGTGCTCTCTTTTGATGGTTGGGCTTGATGATCTTGTAAGTCTTTTCCAACCTAAATGATTCCACGATTCTCCACGGTCACGTTCTGGGCATCGTTCGGGTGGGAATTGTAATGCTCTACCGGGGAAAACCTACACTGCCTGCTTCTCCTTCACCTGCCTCAGTTCAGAGTCAGGGTAAGGTCAAGTTTCTGAGCAGCATCTCTGGACGCCACTTGCACCTCCTGCCACCAAGTCACGGAGCGAGTCTGGGCCATGAGCCACGTGCGCTGGCCCTGGGAAGGGCTCAGGAGGCCCAGTTGGGCCAAGCTGCTCCGAACCAGGGGGTCCTGCTGCCAGCCTTCCTCCCCTGGGCCGTGCACCGGGAGGAGGGGAGCGGGGAGGAAGATGCTGGTGGTTCTTCACATCAGCGTTGCAGTTCAGCCGAGGAACTCCTCGATGCGGGATGCTGTGGGTGCTCAAAGCTTTCGAGAGATCCAGGGGATCGGCCAAATTGATGGAAGAGAAATCCACTGAGGATTGATTACTAAAGTCACCGAAAACAGGGGGCTCAGAAGTCCCTAAATTTTAAACAGTTACAGGCTGGGGAAATACACAGCAAAAAGCCCATGTAATTTGATTTTACACTCTCCTCCAGCATTGGCTTTTGGCCACAGGTGGAGAAAAAGTCTTGGTGCGGGTGGACCTTTGACTTGGCTCTTTAAGGCTACTCTTACCTGATATTTACGAAGCATAAAATGTTTTCTTTTGTTTATGAAAACAGCTGAATTTGGGTGAGCTTGGCTCTCTCCTGAGAAACCAAGCTGTTAACCATCACATTGCATGCGACCGCCGCGCGTGCTATCCTCAGTCCCATCGCTCCCTTCATACCAGTTTAGATTTGTGTTGAAGAACAAATGAGAAACAGCAAGACTGCCAAGGGAATGATTTTGAATGAGGCCTAAAAAGCATGTGGTACCTATGGAGCAAGCGCCTTCTGGGCTCCAGAGCAGGTTTCTTGAGCTGGTGCTCCCAGCATCCATCAAAGCTAATTCTTTGTAGGTGAGGGTGGAAATGCACGGCAAGGCCTTATGGCAGAGCAACAGTTTAGGCTTTACAGTAAATTGTTTTTTTCTTATATATATATAAAAAAAAAAAAAAAAAAAGAAAAAAGGAAGAAAAAAAAAGTAAAAAAGGGGGTTTTCCCCTTACTCTCATTATGGGAATCAGTAATTTTCCTTCCAAAACTCTTTCTGACCCCTGTTGCTTTGCAGTAGGATATTTTCATTTTTTCCTAGGCATCTGTGAATGCCACCAGCTGAGAGCATTTCAGGGGTACGCGGGGGTGGGCGTGGGGTAGGTGAGAAATGTGGTGTGGCCCTGAAGGACATCCTTAAATTTGCTCCACCATCCCTGGGCACCAGGACCTTCCAGGAGAAGCCAGGTCGTAGGAGGGTTGTTAGAGACAGTGAGCAGCCAGCCGTGCCCATCACAAAATCAAACCCCAAACGCCTTTAGGAGGGCAAAGGAGAGGAGGGACGGATGATTCCTAAAAAAAGCACTACTATAGCTTTACACCCAGGGGGAATCCAAAACAAGCTCTCCCACGTTTGAAGTTCACATTTCAAACCCAGAAGGGGACAACACAAAGCACCCACCTCCTGCTTTGGTGCTGGTTGGGCGCATGATGGGGTTAAACAGGGTGGGAAATGCTTGCAAGAACAAAGGCATACAGTTGCTGCATGACAAAACAGTGATGTAGACCCCCCAAAAAGTAAAAAAAAAAAAATAACTCCACAAGCAGTCCTGTAGTTTTCCATCCCCCACGGTGCTGCTACAGGCTCCCTGGAGCACTTAGAGAATTGATGAGCAGAAAAGGAAAGAGAAAACCTCCCTCAAACCCCAAGCAAATCCCCATCAGACAGGACAGAACCGACAGCTCCCTGCAGGTGGGAGACCCGATGGGATGGGCAATAACCTGAAGAATGAACAACTTTAGGCCAAGACATAAGCAGATGTAAAAAATAAAACCAAAAAAAAAAAAACCCCAAGCCCATACTGCAGGCAGTCCCTTTGAGTCCATGAAGATGCAAGCTCACCTTTCCAACCTTGGCCAGGTCATCTCCTGAGGAAAATCCCGCTGCAGCAAGATCTCCAGTCCCGTCATGCTTTGGAGATCCCATCCATCTTGCTAGTGGCTTTGACCATGCTGCCCTTTGGTTATCAGCCCATGCACTGTGTTGGGTGCAAAACCAGAAGAGACATCCCCAATCTGCTGCTTCCCCACTGCTTCCCTATGGCTATCACATCCCCCTCTTTGTGTCTCTTTTCGAGGGAAATTCCCCACTTTTTCCACTTCTTCGTAGCTCTACTCATTTCTGAACATCCCTAATTTCTCTGTGTCTTTTATAAGATGGGACAAGCATAGATGGCGAAACCGTAGCATTGGTTGCCTCGCTCCGCGGTGCCCTTATAGATCTTAAAATCTTGCACCTCCTTCTTCACCCCAGGGCACGTTATTCAAGTCATCTCCCGTTTTTTTTTTTTTTTCCCCCATCAATGCACATTTACTGAATTTTATCTGCTATTCTCTACGTACCTACCTTGACACCACATAGCTCTCTTGGCCTCGTGCAGTTTTTCGGCAGCCACCGATACCGCCAACCGTACCGCCAACCCGTCGCGACACAGTGGTCCTGGCAGGGACCTTTTTGGCCTGTGGCTAGCTACCAGTCTGCTCGGGTGAAAAACCATCACCTCCTGCTTCCCTCTCCATCTCATCCCTCAACCTTCCGCATCAGGGCAATATTTTGTCTTCTCCTTGGGCCTACTTAGATTCCTGATTTCTTCTTGTGATGTACTTGGGCCAGGACCGTTAAAAATGAAAATAAATGTCAATCAGTTGCCCATTGTTCGGGGCTTTAAATGACTTGCTCAGAGAAGCCTAATAGAGAGCCATGATTTTCCTTCAAAGAAGTGATTAGACCATACCATATCATGACCTTAAAGATGTTTTATTATTCTTATTTTAAATGATCATTTCAACCAATTTAGCAGATACAGATGTAACCGTTACTGGCCTAATTCCTTGGATCTCCTCCAGAGACTCTTAAAGCCAAGGTGCAACATTTACTACTCTCTCTTCCTCGGGGAGAATAACTGTTTTTAATGAAAGCTCGCATATTTTTGCTGGGAGATCTGTCATTCAGTTCATAAGCACTTTCAGAACTCTTAGATATACACCATTACGGTCAGGTTGACTTATTGCTTTTTAATTTATCAATTTGCACCATTACCAGCTCTTCTGACATCCCAGGTCTCGGATAATACTTCATCTTTATTACTGGCAAAGAGTGACAGGATCTCATCATTAATAGGAGAAGGAAGTGGGGCCAGGGCAGGTGTATCTCAATAACACGGCAATGAAGACTCAAGCAAAGAGGCAAGCTGCGACGAACAAGTTTTCTTGTCTTTATTAGAAAGAGACCTATACAATATAGCAGCCTCTCTCTGCAGTACTTTACAACTTTTTTTTCTTTTTTTTCTTTTTTTTTTTTTTTTAATTATTCAGAATACTGTACAGCTGACACAAAAATCTCAATGCGGAGAGAGAGGAAAGGGAAACATAATACAAACTGGCATACTTAAACCAAAATCATATGAAACAACAGGCAAAGTGAAATGTTTGTCAATCGGTTTAATTACAGTACAAACAATATAAATAAAGCATCATTGAGTCATTGTAAAACAAACTTGCCGAATGAGGTAATATAAAAACAACAACAAAAGACGTATTGTTTTTTTTTAATAATTTCCACACTGTCTTGTCATCATTTATACATTACTATTTACAGAAACAGAACAAAACAAAACAAAACAAAAAACAACCCAAAACTTGCTCTAAAGCCTGCCGTGTGCTAGGTGTCTGCTGCCTCTACCCTAAGCGGAGGTCTCGGGTGTCCCTACTCACCCGGGCTCCCCCTTCTCCCCATCCCAACCAGAAAGACAAACGTCACAAAGCAGAAAATCTGAAAGACTTTGGGGCTAAACGTGGCCAAACGTTAAACCCTAGCCTTTGCAGGTGGTCGCAGGGTATTAAGGAATAAAGAAAAAAAACCCTAGCATACGTATCTGCTTCCCAAGCAGTGCCAGTGGCGCTTCCCAAAATAAAGGTGCCGGCTAGATTGAACCTCAAATCACCACCTGGCTGACGCCAGGGGCCAAACTCCGACTTCAAAGAGGTCACGATGCAGCCCATCCGCCCCCAGCTTGAAGCCGCTGGGCAAAGCATTCGGGATATGCTCAAACCCTGCTGCAGGCGAGAGGTTTAAGGCAGCGGGAGCTGCAGATCCAGGCCCGCGGCGATCCCAAGCCAGAGTCCAAAGGCAACCGTTACACAAAACAAGTCCCCGGTGTTTGAAAAGACGCTCCTCTCCCAAATAACCCTTCAGTCTGTGCACCCACCGACGCGAGCTGCCTGCAAGTGAAAGATGCTTTTGACAATTAAATAGTAAAAGAAAGCTGGACCGAATGCATGCGGTCCCCTGGAAACGTGGTATTCCCCCGGAGCAAAGGAAATTCCCTTTCAGAGGATGGACACATCCTATTTTCCCCGTGGGTTGGCAAAATGAGCTCAGTAGATTCAACGGAGAATCCAGTTGAATCCCTGGGTACATCCTAAAAAACGCTCAGAAGGGTTTTCAACAGCATTTCAAAGTAATTATTTGTCCTAGATGCAAGAAGGGGAAATGAAAGATGCTCCCACCATTTCTGCACGCCCAGCTGTGTTTCCTACCACACCTTGCCTAGTGCCAGCAAACATCCTTCTCGCCCTCTCTCTACTGATTTCCCCTGAAAGGATATAAACCCAAAGCAAGGCTAGAAATGGTGTGAGCAACACTTGGTCAAGCTTTCCTGGAGCACTCAGTACACGCAAAGCCTCCGCACTTCAGCCGAGGTTTGTGGCTCCCTCCTGGGGAAATTTTGGGGCCAGAGCTTAATGGCCAAGAAGATGTGGAGGGAGGGATGAAGAGCTGCTCTTGGGGAAGGATCCACCTAGGTAACGCTCTTCAGAAACGTCTGAGCAGCGTCACCCCCGACGGCCCCACAAACAGCAGCACGACCCGAAGCATCGCCGAGTCAGCTACAGGAGGACAGCAAGCTGGTCCCACAGTTAAATTCAGCCAGTAAGCTGTGTTTCAAGCAAATTTATATAAAAAAGCGCTTCCGAGCAGCAAGTCCTCTGTCCTTTCCACCTTCAGAATCTCTTTCCCCAGTGTTTCCCATGATAACACCCCAGGGCTGGTGAGCTGGGCTTTCTTCTCTCAAGCAAGGGGGCCAGCTTCAGCCCCGGTGGCCAAGTTAAAAGTTTTCTCAAGTTGAGTGCTGCTGTCTGAAGAAGCTGTTTTGTTTTGTTTTTTTTTTTTTTTTAAAACCTCTGAGGCAGGTTTTTGTGCGAGTCCTGAGCATCTGATGGCTCGCAAGAGCCGCAGCAAGCCTGTACCTCCTATTCCTCCACCTCTCCATCCCTCGGGCAGGTGCTCCCCATCCTGCGCCTGTCTCCTGCGCTCTTGGGAATGGCCGGTCTCAAGTCAAACTGGGAAACTTGCCCGTTTAGAAACATCTAACTGAAAACCAGGCTCTAGCTATAGATTTTGATTAACGTGTAAATGTGCGCACGTGCATTTCCACCGTTGCTAACAGCAGTATGTAGAGCGTATATGCATATATCAGCACACATATGCACACCAAATGCAAAGCACGTGTCCTCAATGACCTCCATGTGATCCACTGCCTTTACCTTAGGACTCAAACTACCTTGACTGCACTTCATCCACCGATTCACCTCAACTCAATCCCCAGATCTGGGAACTAGTTGCCAAATAGCAACCCACCTTCAGCACCAAAACCCTTCCTCGGTCCTGCATGAGCTTGGGGTTTGCCTTCAGCACGGATCAGACACTATCAAGTTGTCTGCTGCGAGGGGTTTTACTCCCTGCACCTTGTCATTCAAGAGGACCAGGGAAGCGTTTTCAGCTACTTCGGTTCTCAGGAACAAAAAAACATTGATCGGTTCTGGAAAACAGGGCATACACAAAAGAGCTGATGGTGCATTCACTGCCAGCAAGCAACATGGTCATCCCAAACGCATGCCATTAGACCTCTGTAAGCATCCCCACGCCCCCCCCCACCCCCCCTTCCCATTTTGTACATAGCACACAGGTAAAAATTACTAGCTCTGAAGCACTGCAAAATAGTCAATCCTTAGTACTGGAAGCTAAACACACATCCAGAAAGTTCATGGCCATGAGAAAGCTGAAGCTCTGCCTGTCAACAGAACTGACCGCTACTGCTTGAATATGCCACAGGGATTTGGGAGAGAGGCAGACATATAGAGATGAAGAGGCTAAAACTGCTGAAACGCACAAAGACATTTTTATTTCATCCACCCACAAGCAGAAGTACCCCCCAAGCATTCAGGGAACGGTAGTAAACGATGGGAGTTAATTCACCCACATATTGCTGTCACCTGAAATGAAACAGAGGGGCCAAGATGACCAGAAGCATGGCTAACGATTTGGGGCTTAAGATGTCTCTAAAAAAAAAAAAAAAAAACCAAAACAAACCCAAACCAACTTTTTACTTTCAGAAATCATGCAATCCTCCTCTCAAAACATGAGCTATTCACAGCTCCTGAAAATCTTGGCCAAAACCCTTCAAACCTCCCTTTAAAACATGAGACAGATTCAGTCAACTCAAGGGAAACTATCATGAGATGAGATCACCCAATATTTACTTGAAAAACTGGCCCACACTAAACAACAAACCAAAACCTAGAATATCATAATACAACAAATCTACCTACCTACAGCTTTGGGTATCTTGCTCTATTACCTCTACATTTTTTTCAAAATGGAGATTATTTTCTAATAAAACCATTCAAGCCAACCTTCTTTTTGCAGCTTAGAATTTAAGAAGTCAAAACTCATGGCAGAACTTTTTAATCTGGGGTAGTTTAGTGGTTTTGTACCTTGAAAAGAACTTTAATCTGTAGCGGATTTTTTAAAATTTTTCTGCTCCGCAGCAAACACAAGAACATCCTAAAATGTTTTTCTACACGATAAATTTTACCCAAGAATCACCAAGAATGGAAGGAGATGTTGAATTGAGGATCCGAGACTACTAGCCAGAGATGCCGTGTACGCATCGCCGTAGCAGCCACCGGACGGGAAACGAAGATGCCTGACGATGAGATGAGGATGGGCAAGTTGCCTCCTACCCAGCCAAGCTGCCCCAGGTTTGGTCCCCGACTCTCTCCTCCTTCACCTTGAGGCCCTCCAGCCACAATGACCATTTGTTCCCTCGTTAAGGTGCAAACACGGCTCCCCGAGACGTTTGGAAAGGGCCCCTTCGGGACCCCCTTGTGAAAAATGTGCTTGTCTCCACTATTACTACTTTATACTAGAAACTACAAATTACTTCATTTTTCCCGATCTCCATACAAATATAAAGGATGAAGGTACCCAAACCCCATATAATCTAATTATACTACATTACAGTGCTGGAGATCATCTCTAAGCCCGTATCTGCATTCCCACCTCTATTCCTCTCCCTACGTTACTCAGCTTCCTCTGGCCAGGGGAAATCTCCAAATGCAGCTAAATCTCTTTTTGCATTAACACACATAATTTAGGGAGACGCGGAAAAGACATCAAATTAAACAATATTAACGTTTACACAGTTATTATACACTATGCCCTATGAAATGCCAAGGTTCTCCAAAAATAGCTTTTCTTCTTCTGCCCCCTTTCAGCAACGAAATCAGAAATCTGGTATTGGGAGGCCTTGGCCAAATCTCTGCACTGACAGGACCCTGAATTTTCCCAAGGCTAGATATTTATTTCTTCATAAATAGTGAGGAGAAGTAAACCCCCCTCAACTCTGGGAACATCAAGGTTCAGATGCTGGGTGCGACACATCCGACTCATCTCCACCCTTCAACAGCAATTAGCTTAAAACAAATAGAAGGAAAGTGCTGATGTTAATAGCAATGGCTGACTCGCTTATAGTGTGTTAGTCGTCGTGGATAAAGTGCAGAGGAAGGGGGATTTAAAGATATCTGGGATGATTAAAAGGGTTAAATGGGGGAGCAATGGAAACCACAGCCGTGGACTCCATTTATGGAGAAAACAGCCTTAGCTAACATGTTTCTGCTGGGATTTCTTACTGACTTGATCTCAATTTGGTTTTAATTTGCTCATAACACGCTCAAAGGGCGTAAACAGCTTGGCAAGGGGGTCCCATAAAAGCAACGAGAGGGGCCAAACGGGAGACGAAGAACCGAAAACGGACGGGTTAACAGGGTGAAAGCAAGGGGAACGATTCCTGCAGGTTCTCCAAGTGACGGTATGTATCGGCTGCTTCCGCACCCGGACGACTTCAGGAACATCCTTTGCAAAGTGCAAACGCATCCCCCTGAAAGCACGCAGAAAGCCAAGCCCCTCTGGGTTCCAGCCACGGGCAACTTCCTCCACGCTCGCTCTCCGCTGCGGTGGGAAGGGGTTTCCCCTCCCCTCCTTCACCACGCAAGGAGGGGATGGAGGCTACGCTGGCCTGACGTCCTCGCCAGGTGGCCTGTCCCACTAGCTCAAGGTGCCACACAACGTCTCACAGCCATCCACCCAAGCCCGTTGGTTTGAGCAGGGGATGCTGTAGCCAACACCCTGCGGGGCACGGACCCTCGCTCTGTTCTCCCGTGGCTGGGGCATCACCAGCTGTCGTGCCAGAGAAGGTCTCTCCTGACATGGACAGACGGCGCCGGGTGACCTCCCGCCTCTCGAAGGGATCGCCTCTGCATGCACAACTGGGTACCCTCCCTGCAGACCCCCAAATGTCTGGGGGAAGTCATCACATAGTCTATGACACTCCAACACAGGTACTGCCAATGCTTACTCCTCCAAGGGAAAAAAACCATGTTTAGGTTAAAAGCAACCGTGCTACCGCTTAATTAAAGCATGAGGTTATTAGCTGGCTAGCCTGGATATATCATTTTCCCTAAATACAATGGAATTTCCTCCCCTAAAAATATTCTGCGTTTTTTTGATGTTTGCGCCTTCAGAAAATTTTCATGAAAGGAGTATATGCTTACTCTACCCGAAATCTGCATGACAGCCCGGTTGCTTTTGTTTCTCAAACATCACTCTCAGCTTTCTAAGAGGAAGGTGGCCCAAAGAGAAGATTAGATTATGTACAGAAAATATTCTCAACTGGGAAAAAACGCAGCTCAGAAATGGGATACGCATTGAGAACTTAACGGCAGCAAAGCTGCCTACCAGGTCTTCGAAAGATTGGACTTGGTTTTCGGATACAGGTGCCCTTGATGCTCCCAGGGGAACAGCAGGCAGCTACAGCACCTCTGGGACCACGAGCCGCGATTCCCAAATCCCTGCTGCGTGTCCCCCCCCCCCCCGTAGAGGTGTAAAGCTCGTGAGCACCAAGACACAGCGGGCTTCACAGCATCCCCTTCAGCTCCACGTTAGGGGGGGTCGTCCCGTCGCTGAAGGACCACCCGTAAGTACCAAAGATCAGGGAGCTGCACGGGAATGATGGAGAAGTAGCAATTGCAACAACCACCCTTCCTCAGTTAAAAAAATAAAATCAAATTACCCCAGGATGAAGAGAATCAGCTGTAGCCTTACTCTGATGCAGCCAGTCTCGGCTGGTTGAAGAAAGATTCCGTACCCTGCCCCCCCCCCGCCCCAAATAGTCAAAGGTCTATACAGTAACAAAGTACAAAATGAGAACACCACCGAATAGGAAAAGCTCAGTCGATATTCTTGTGCTTCCGCCTTGAGGCTCGCTTTTCTTCCAAAATGTGATGATTTTACACCAAATCCGTAATTATCTGATTTAATACCCCGATTACGTTCTTCCCTTCACATTTTGTCCACATGTATTTTAGCAGTTGCTACGCTCCTCCCATTTGTACACAAGCCAAATGGAATCCAGAGCCCCAAGGAAGAATACCACTGAAGGCTTAGGAAATACATATGAGCAGGTCGATTTGCAAATTACTATGCTGTGTGCACCTCACTGCCTTCACGTAATTGCTCCTTTGCCATCAAATTCAGTGGAGTTTTCAACTTTCTCCGTGATATACCCTTCCCCCATCTTCACATTGCCATATGCCACTTAAAAAAAAAAAAAAAAAAAAAAAAAAAAAAATCACTTTTCTGCCTGCCAAAAACCATACAGCCTGCTTCCCAGTGCCAGAATCCTACTTTGCGGAAAACAGGAGAAGCTGGGATCTGCCCGGTAATACCAAAATAATCAAATCAAGTATTAAAACTTGGAATTCAAATGAACTGTCCAGGCTACTTTCACAAGCCATTTTTCTTCCAGAAAGCAGCCAAGTTGGGAGTCAAGCGCAGCCATGCCCTGCCCGCCGCGGTGAAGGCTATCAATTCTGAACTTAATCAAATCTGATCTTCCCACAGCCAGACTAGGGCTTTTTGTCTTGGCTTGTGAAAGCTTCGTGACTTCTGGAGTAAAATATATTTACAGCGCTTAGAAACAGCCTCTTTTTCCTTTCTATACTTTTTTTTTTTTTTTTTTTTTTTTTCTCCCATGCCAAACATGCCATAATCTCCTTCTGATACGTTCCTCAAAGGCTTGCAATGGAAACAAGAGTTCACTGCTGGGAATATTTTCAATGTACAATGATCTGTAACCCACAGATCCTAACTAGTTGCACATTATTTAGTTCACATCCATTACAGTTTATAAATTAACAGAGATGTCATTTTCTGTACAAAAAAAAAAAAATAATCAATGCATATTTATGTTTTTTTTTTATTCAAATAGATTTTACATACATATCATCTAGAGACACAATACAAAAATCTGTATAAGTTAGGCAATGCATCACAGGAGTGACCAAAAACTCAACACATTTACCTTGGCAAAATGACAGAACCTATTTCTGCTGGCTGAAAAAGTATTAGCCTTTAATGCGTTTATTAATTTCACTAAACGTACTTGAAATGTTTTTCCTTAGCGGTATTCATTATTCCTTTTTGTGTTTCATAGTTACTCTTATTTATTTTTTCCATTTTGTTTTTACACCAAGGAGACTGCAGTCAAATAACACTCAGCAACTCATTTCCTCTCTTTGGACTGAAAAATTAAACAGATACTAAATTATGACAGTGAATTTAGAAAGGAGGGCTCCAAGGGCTTGAAAGAACATGTCTGAGATAATATGATGCTTCTAAGAATATTGCAATCACATCCAAGCAATCACCGAAGCGTGCCATGTAACTACCTCCTCAGCTAATATGCTTTTTTCTCCGTGATGACTAATCATGTTCTATTAAACAGCGGTAATGCTGGAAGAACTCAACTATACAAGTGTAATGAAGCCAGTATTCTCCCCGGACAGATTAGCTACAACTGATTTGACACATACCATCATAGGAGCTTCAAACCTGACAAACTCTGTGCTTGCTTCTGATTTATGCCGTCAAGCTCTTCAGAGAAGAGAATGAAATCCAGGCGTCGCGTTTGGTAGAGGTGAAATGTACTGATGTGCTTAACTGTCAGTTACGGAAAGTCACCATCTCTCCTTCCTTCTCCTCTCGCTCGCCTCTCCCTCCGCCCCTTCCCTCCGCGCTCGGGGAGCCTGCGTCCCCCCCGCCCCGGGGGACGACTGCTCTCCCGCGGTCCCGGTGCCACGCGCCGTGCGTCCTGCTCAACCCACGTGCTCTCGCCCGCTCGTGGCCGCCGTTCGAGAGCTGTCACTGAAACCAACCGCTTCCTCTGCAGCCCCTTTTTTGCTCCTTCTCATCCCCTCGCGCTCTCCAGACGCGCCGTTTCCGGATGGGACAGGGGTGTACCGAAGGGAAAAGGGAAAAGGAGAGTTACCAGACTCACAGAGCAGAGCTGTGATGGGGATGGAGGAATATGAGGCTGCGGATGTAATTCAGGTCAGCGAAATGCCCGAGTGAGCTCCTCAGATGATGGTGGGCATCCTCCCGCTGCTGTTGTTCCGGTTATTGTTCTTCCTGGACAAGTTTGGAGTGGCCATGAGGACGAAGCGCTCGTCGGGGCAGCCGTACTGGAGGAGAACGTCGACGCACTCCTGGCTGGCGGCCTGCCGGGCGTAGGCCAGCGCCGTGTTCCCGTGGGCGTCGCGCGCCATCACGTCGACGCCGTACTACGGAGAAGAAGAGACGGGCCGTTGGAAGGCGCGGTGCCAAGGGAGCGCTTGCGACGGGGGGGGGGGGGAGAGGATTCGGGACAGCTAGGTGGGAATTTAAGCGAGGGGGGGGAGAGGGAGGGAGAGGGAGAGGAGGGAGCGGGCGGGACAACGCGAGCGCAGTGGCATCAAGGTCCCGACGGGGAGAGACTCTCACGTGTGGGGCAAAATGTGCCGCAGTGGTGTTTCAAAGAGGGGAATCTCTCCTTCCTCACTTCCCACGCCCTCCTCCGCTTTCCATCAAGCCGCGCGCGGGAGGAAACATGTTTTTTTTTTTTTTTTTTTATCACGGTGCTGTCTTCTGAGCGCACGCGGTGAGGAACACCCAGACTCAGGACACCAAGCAAACTCCTTGTGAAACCCTCAAGTGGCAGGCCTGGGAGGTCCCGCCGAGGGACGCAAGCCGAGCGAAAGCCAACCCAGCCAGCCCCCTCCCCTGGGCGCCGAGTACTCACCCAAATCAAGAGCTGCACCAGCACCACGTTTCCTTTCCTGCAGGCCAAGTGGAGGGCAGTGCGCCCATCACCGTCTCCGCAGGTCTCGTTCACCTCTTCCCGAGTCCCGTGGGCAAGGAGCAGGATGACCGTCCGCAAATCCTCCTCGGCTGTAGCCCTCAGGAGATGCTGGCCCAGGGAAAGCTCCAGGCACTGCAGCGGGGCAAGGAAGAGCTTCTGCTCGTATTTCGCACGTATCCAGCGCTCTTTTTCTTCCCTAGAGAAGCCAAAGGAGACAGGTCACTCCAACCTGGCTTTGCTGCCTCTAAGCGGTGGCAGTTCAGCTACCGGCACGCTAGCAAACAGCGGTGAGCCGACAAGAATATCACTCCCCCTTCAAATTTTTGGCAAGAAAGCCCTCCCAGAAATAGTTCACCTAAACCTTGTATTTGCAGCAATATTTGCGTCACCCACCTCATCATTACCGAGCCATATTACTGCAGTGCCCAAGATCCCCCTCGGTGGACGCCGTGCCTGCAGGGTTGTAAGATTACAACAGCCAGGAGGTCTTACAAAACGCTGGGCTGCCCTGAGGGCTGGCAAGAGCCCCCACCACCCAGAAGACCCAAACCAAAACAGGCAGCCTGGCTCCACGCGAAGGCTGTGCTGCAAAATACGTTACAGAAAGCGCACCGCAATTCTGTAGCTAAGACCAGAAGTAACCAAGCACCTGGGCTTGCAGTTCAGAGCGGAAAGCAAGCCCCGAAAGGCACGGCCTTGCTTGCAGGGGTGCTTTTTCCTTCTACAAGTTGAGCAATGCTTCCAATGCAAGAGGCCTAGGGGTGGTTCCTCTGTTTGTTTTTTTCCAAAGTGCAAGCCACCAAAACAATACTTAGAAGCACCGTTTCCTCCTGATACCTCAAAGAACTGTCAGAAGCTTTCTGGATGCTATTAGGTCACAGGAGAACAAGGATTACAAACAAGTCCCTCAACTCTCCATTAAAAAAAATTACCATACAATTATGTGATCCAAGAGATCTAGCCCTAGACAAAGTCCCATTTAGAGGTACCTCAGGTAATCTGTTCAGCCTGTGAAAACCATATATATCACCTAAGCCAGGCAACTTGTTACCGGTGACAGATTTTCTCCCCTGGAGTACAAAAGGCAAAGCTCTGTTTATGCCTGTCAGCCATGTTTACACTACTCCCAGTAATCTAGTGTCAGGTTAGCCCTAATCTGTTTTTAAATACTTATGCAAACAGATCCTTCCAACAGCAAATCTGGATTAGCTTTGCATCATTTCCTGGTACATGTGGAGTGACCTTGCTTTGACCTCCCTGGATGCTTTCAGGCACAGCTTCCCAAAGCATCCGCTTCTCTACCCCACCACAGTTCACCTTACAAACAGGCCCAGGGCTTTTTTTTCAAAGAAAAAGTGCAAACAGAAAATTAACACAAAGAGTGCTTCGTTTAAATCAAACCTTTGAATGACTCCTGCAAGCTAAAAGACCAAAAAAACCCACAAAACATTTGAGGAGCTGCAAATTAACCTTTGATGGCAGGATCTGATAAACAGAGCATCATTTCAGGTATTCCAGATGGAGAGGAGGAAGAAAAGGACTTCTGTTACCATTGCATCCTCAACCCATGCTTTTTGCGTTTGTATTTTTTTAAGGTAAAAACCCAAAACCAGTGTAATGAGGAGAATAAAAGAACATACATGCAATCATTTACAATAAATCGGGCATTCTTGCAACACTTCTAAGTCCAGTAACCACCCAGTGTATCTTCAAGAATAGTTAGTAAAGCTCTTATATGTTTTTAAGATAAGTATAGAGCCTGCAAGTGAATCCCTCCTCTCCCCCCGACCATCTTTTGAGTGATAGTAATTTCTGACTCCTGTCAGATCACTGGTTGCTGTGAGCACCATGGCTTGAAGAGAAGTCCCTTTCTGTTTAGAAAACAAGCTGTTTCACAGAAGTCTCACACTTCTAACCACAATTCACCTTAAACTGCAATAGCGATGCTATGGTATGTGATGAAATAGGGGCAATAAATGCCAAGTTCAGGCAGAGATCTTCAAAGCATGGGAGCAGTGCAAAGGCAATCCTGCTGCTCTTGGAAGGCTGCGAGAGAGCGGGACAGACACCAACGAACCAATCCTGCCCAGGTTTATCCTGCTGTCTCAAAAGGCTGGAAAAAGAACAGGAAACCCCTTTAAAAACAAATCTAACGGGAAGGGGAACGTGCTGCCATCTGTGTTAGTGATGGAGAGGATGCAAACGGTCCTTCTCTAAGGCACCATCCTGTAGAATGATCAAGCCAGCCCTGCGTGAGTGCTGACTGTATGCTCCGGTCAGGATTCATCCTTTAACCAGAGGAAACGGGATGCAGAGCAGGGGAGCAGGCCCCTGCAGCAGGCTGTGCCACCCGCCTGCGCTCACCTGAAAGCTCAACCTTCGCACGTGGTTATTTTACCATCACTTCAGTTTCCCTTTTCAGAAAACCCGCCCGGTTTTTCTTGGCCACATAGGGCACCAAAAGACTCAGTTCATTAAGGCTCAGTTCTACCTTTTGGAGTCACACTAAGGGTTGTGGTGGGAACACAGCAAACACTACAAACAAAAATAAGGGTGTTTTAAAAGCCTCAGACATTTGGGGGCAGCACGTCACTGACGTCGGCTATCGAATGAGATTTAGATCTTATCAACTGTACAAACTGGGCACAAGAAAGGTACGTCAGTTGGATGTTCTGGTAGAACATGAAACTTGATCACAGAGGCAGGAGGAAAAGCACGCTCGCCCACGTCTCATGGGCAGCCAAAAGGGTGGGGAGGTACTGTTTTTGAATGAGTATCTAGAAAAGTTTTTGAATGAGTATCTAGAAAACCAATGTCCACAGACATCCTCCCTACAGCTCTGGCACAAACCGTTTCTTTTTGAACGGGAAGTCCTGGGGACTTCCCTGGAAGACAGCTTCAGCTCTGCCGCTCGCATTCATCTCAGAAATCCTGACAACAAGACATAAATACTGTAATTGTTGCTCTGATGCCCCAATTTCACTTCTGGGATCCACACCTTGTCTTGGTTGAGGTTTCATTTCCTCCAAGGAAGGCCAGCCCAAGAGCAGAGTTGTCAGCAGTAGATCACTTAACCTCATTGCAGTTCCCTGGAGGACCACTGTTCACATCCCCTGTTAGCTAATGAGCTAAAAAATGAATTATTGGAGCGGTCAGCAATAAGCAGGAAGAGGAGGCACAGTGTTTCATTTCAGCCAGGGCTGACATACCTTTAAATAAATCAACTGAATAAGAGTACGAGGAAATGTGAGGAAGAGCAACTAATCAGGAGAAAGACACCGAACCAATCCCTAAAAATAAACTAAACGCACATCGGCTAGTAAATATTCCCCTCATTTTCTTCCCTTAGCTGTAATCCTGGTAACTTCCACTCTAAATGACTCCCTCAACACCGGAGACGTTCAGCTGCAGTTGTCAAAGCCAAAACAAGACTCTTACTGAGCTTCTAAAATCCGGTGGAGTCCTTTCCTCAGGACCAGATTAAAGCCAGTGTGCTGGAGAGGCAACATCCTCATGCGCTCAGATGGTCCTGACGATACCTAATGCTGGAGAACGTGTGAGCTGCCTCTTCCTCAGAGGAGTACTGAAATGACTTCTCTTTTCTTCGGTGATCATGCTAGCTGTAATTTTTTCAATGCATGTGCACAAATAAATTAACAGATTATAAACTCCTAGATAAACTTAGAGAAAGAAAAAATATAGTCGTAAGATCAGACTTTCTTTCCTTCAGCCCTTTATCTCTGAAGCTATGCATTCAAACCCAGGCTGCTGATTCAAACTTCAAACCTCACTGGTTATACAAGGGCCAAATACAACAGAGTAAGACTGCAAAATACTCTGCGGTACCCCGAGAGGAATGAGCCACTAAAGCCTTGGCCAAAAAAACAAGCTCTTTGCTTTTGCAGGAGTCTCCATCACTAGTGAACTCTAAGTACACACAGTGGTGTGAATAATGACATCTCTGCCACGGCAGCGATACTGTACATAGGTAAAGGGTTATTAGAAACAGATGAAAATTTCAGTTCTCAGTTTATTTTGATCTAATTAGGTGCTTGCTTCTCAAGATAATGTCCAATTATTTAAATTACTCTGCCAGCCACATCACATCATTATTATCTGGAAACATAAATACTGGGCACTGTAAGGGGGGAGGGCTAACTAGGTTGCATGAGAGAATATAAAAAGCAGATTTGCTTACAGCACAGCTTTGCTCCGGGAGCTACACTGCGTCCCCCACTTGTGGGTTTGCACCAGAGATGCTCCTTTAGGAGCCCACGTCCCACACAGCTCGGCCCCATCCTCAGTTAAACACGTGTGGTTCTACACCCGACAAATCTGAGCAGAAGCCTCGTCCCGCTGGTATCAACTCTCCATCCTATTCCTCCTCGCTCCCATTCACTTCTGCCTCCAACTTCATTTGTCCCTCTCATACACTTGGCGGAGAGGCATGAAAGGCAAACACGAAACGGATGTGCAGGGTGGAAATAAAAGCCGCGTTCATATGGCAACTCAGACCTGATTGTGTAGGCAATGGCATGCGGTTGGAGAGCCTGAGAACTTGCCATCAACAGGTTCAGAGAGCCCCAGAACCTGCCGTTCAACAGCTCCAGCGCGAGAGCAGCCTTGTTCTTACCAGAGCGACAGCATGGATGGCAAAAGTGTTGTGTCGCCCGCTCGTTATCTAAAATCACTCACCGTTTGCTAAAAGGCTCAATGAAATTTTGGAAGGTTGCACTAAAAACGCAATGGGCAGCAGGTATTTACCACGGCGTAGCATTGATTTCCCACCATTGGAAATACCGAGCAGGCTTGGTGCAGGCATTTTGAAGTGCAGTTTTATCCTCCACATCTCTGACAACACTAAAAAGCTCTTGAAATTTTTTACCTTTTCTTCTCTCCTGCTAAAGAAAATAATTCCGTAGCTGAGGAGGGCCTCTAAATGGTCTCTCCAGCGTCACCATTCATGTGCCGTGCCGTGTGTTGCCATTTCTGGTTGCTCACTGAAGTACAACCGTTTAATGCAGTAGTAACCTGGCCAGCTCAGCAAGAGCACTGCCAAATTTTCTCTCCTGTTGGCCAGATGACAAGGCTAATGCGTCTCTTCCAAGAAAATGAAGTAAATCTAACCCCCGTACCTCCCAAACTCCTGGAGAGCCCCAGAATGTGTCATCAGCTTCGTGGTCCGGCATGCAAGAA